ATAGCCAACTCCCTCTATCTCAAGTTTCCACCCTCTGAAGGGTTTTGTACTAAAAGTAGTTCTCAAGGAGATCATAGTATCTGGCGAATGATTGATAAGACAACTTGCAACCAAACTTAGTAAAATTTAGTCAGCCTAATTGATTATGTACACTCATATACTCCAAAGGGCAGCTCATCTTCTCCACGCACAAGTGCAACCTATAGCAAGTCGATGATGGGACAGTTACGATAGGATGTCCTAGTATGTCAGATGAAGCCATGTCTGCTTCATCCAATGGTGATGACTACAATTGTAACACTATAAATGCCAACCCTTGTAACACTTTGAAGCTAATGCAACTCTTTACACTTAAAGTGATTCTTTGTCTTCTATTTTGCTTATTTCACAGGGAGAGCCACCGACTCCAACTATCGTCCATGTATGATCCACTACAAGAAGAATAATGGTAACACCACCATTAACTACATTTATGAATGATTGCCTCTACGTCAGAGAAATTTTACCAAAGGTGTGTGTTCATAGACCTTAGCTCCATGGAACAATATGTTACTGCTGAAACATGGCATAATTGAAATCTTCTAGAAGCATGTGTAAAAGCTCGTAATGAAGGACGGTACCCATTTTGGGAATGTCCGGTGCTAAAGTCACTGAATGGGTAAGTCGCCAATCCCTCTAACTTTAGTTGAATTGTTCATGATTAATCAGTAATATGAAATCATCTCTAAATATGTTGCCGATGTCTGAACATTTTTTGTCTCGCGTGATAGAGCGTCTCCCACGTCCATATATGACAACCTCCTCCAACCAAGTCTCTGATCAAAACATGTTGGAATTTGCTTACACGGGTGCGAGTAAACCCGACATCTATTGTCCATGTTAGCTTTATAAAAACAAGGTCAACAAGCATAAAATAATAATATTAGTATTTTTGAATTATGTCTACTCTATTTTTGAAAAACGCAAATTTATACTTATTGATATTCTAGAAGTATGCTTATAATATTTTAAAATATAAATATTCAAGAAGAATATCACAATAATCCCGTGAAAATTTATTAATTATATCAAATCTAAAATATGATTAATACTTTCGTTGAGAGAGTTATTGTAATAGATTGTATCGCCAATATTTGCAAAACCAAATCAATAAATTAAATTTATACTAGCATAATTTTCTATTGGGTTAAATTTTTTATTTGATGATCTGGAAAAAAGCAACAAATTAGATGTTCATGTGTGGCTATAACCAAGGTCGATGTTCGCATTGTTTAAAATAAATGTACATAAATCATTTGCATGATTTTAATTTTGTCACTTTGTAAGAGGAAGGTGACTAAAACTATTCGCATCCCACCACACAATCGCTGCCACAACCACTAAGCCGCCACACCCCACCTAACCCCAATCCATTACAACCACCACCTCTGCCGCCAGTACACCACACCTTAAATCACCCCCATACCATTACCCCCTGTGCCATCGCCATCGCCTGCAAAATCACCACCTCACCATCACATCAGCAACAACCCGCGACATCCACAACCCAATCTAAAAATGTCACCACTGTCATTGACCATTAATCACGCACTATCATGGAATAAACACAAATCCCGTAGCTACCTTTGTGCGGCACCACCACCATCAACACCAACGCAGCGCCTCCATCACCGCCATGTCACACCTGTCTATACACCGCACCCAACCATCCATTGCATGTAGCACTGTACCCAACCACCCATCACCACTGCACATGGAGAAACGTCGTTCGGCATTCGGTACCCATGGAGAAAAGGACCTCGATTTGTAGCGCGCACATGGGAAAATGTCATCCCGTGGTCCGCCTTCAAACGCCACAGCCCATGGAGAAACGTTGTCCGTCGGCAGCGACAATCTGAGAGTAGAGAGATAGATGGTGAAGAGAGAAAGGAGAAGAGAGGAAAGGGCGGCGATGCACGGTGGTGAAGAGAGAATGAAGAGGAGCAGGGAGAGAGAAACTTTATTTTAGGGTTTGAATGGAGATAGATATGGTAGGGTGTATGTATATAGATTAATTTATATTATTATTATTATTATTATTATTATTAAAATATTAATTTATAATATTTAAATTAATTTATGATTTTTGTATAAATAAACATTGCATCTTATTTTTGAAATTGAATCTTTTAAAGTAGGCCTATATGTAATTTCCATGTCAAAGAATTACAATTCTACCAATATTTTATCTATTGTATGTATCAAAACTTAATAAAATTAATTAATTTTATTGTTACATGATCAAACTAATGATCTACATAATTACTTCTAGAAGGAGAAAAGAAAAAGCTTGAAACTAATATTGGCACGATTAAAGCAAATACTATATTGAACCAAAATTAAATAAATATTAATTGAAGAATTCAATTAATTCCTATTTGGTGCTTGTCTTTATTATTGAAAATTGACTATCAACCATCAATAGCTTAAGTTTGGGAATGTTTTCCTAAATTCTTGAATATAATATATGGGGGTTCGTCACTCTCTATCTTGGCCATCATACATTATCTATATCATAGATACATTTAATATTTTCATGTCATTGAATTTTTATAAAATAAGATTTTAACGAGGTAGACGTTGTGTAATGAGCCATTGGGGAGGCTCATTACTTCAATTGAGATAATGCTCGGATTACGGGCCCCTCACGCTTTTTGGGCTCACTGGGCCCCTCAACCTTCACAACTCCTACGGATAATTAGGCTCAAACTGATGACTTCCACCACGTCAAGGTCACACTCTACCGCGGAGTTATATCCCTTTCCTGCCCCCATCGAGAAATAGAACTGACTCCTATCCATTCCCCTATTCCCCTATTCTTTCTAGGGGAATGATAGAACCCAAAAAAAAAGGAAAAGAGGAAAGTCTTTAGTTAGCTGAGACCACTGGTAATCGTCTTTTAACACTTTAAGAGAGGACTTTCAAGGGGGAGTATAGACCACTGGTAATCGTCTTTTGTTTAGACCATGTAATAAAAACCTGCAATTTAGATGAAGAGGTAGAGATACATTTTATGGTTGTTATGGTCATTAAATGAATTCTTTTATGATTAGTGGTCTTCATTAAGGCTTATATGGATTCACATAGAGATATGGTGGGTTGACTTAATTCGGTATGACTAGTTTGAACTCCAGAGAGGTAAATCAATTAAGTCAGAAGAATTTGATCGAATTCACATAATCAATTATAAAATTTGGTGATTGAAAAAGGGATAACTATGATAAATTCGTGAATCATAACACTTAAACCATCATATAAAACACAATTTTTAATTAGCATCCATTGGTGATTAGAAACGGATTATCCGTTGGTAAAAGTAATTCACTTTTAGCTACGATAATTAGCAATAGATTTTCTATTGATAAAGATGATATCTCTTTACCAACCGATATTCCGTGCCTAATGTAATCGTTTAACATTTGGATCTTCCTCCAATAGATATTTCGTAGGTAATGTACTGAATATTACCAACGGATGCAATTCGTTGGTAAAAGTAATTTACTTTTAGCGACAATAATCAGCAACGAATTTTTCATTGGTAAAGATGATATCTCTTTACCAACGGTTATTCCGTGCCTAATATAACCGTTTAACATTTTGATCTTTACATATGGATATTCCGTTAGTAATTAGAAACGGATTATCCGTTAGTAAAAATGATATCTCTTTACCAACGAATATTTCGTGCCTAATAAGGAGTTAAACATTTTGACCTTTCAGCAACGGATATTCCGTTGGTAATTAGAAACGGATTATCTGTTGGTAAAAATAATTCACTTATCCCACATCGACAGTTTACAACAATATTTTGTAGTTGCCCTCTATAATTTTGTGGTCCAATAAGGAGTTAAACAATATTTTGGCATTTCAATTCAGTTGGCTAAAAATAAAAAAAATATAATAATAATAATAATAATAATAATAATAATAATAATAATAATAATAATAATAATAATAATAATAATAAAGTAACTTTTTTACTATACGGTTATTTACAACATTGATTTTTACCAATTGTAATGATAGACATTTACCAACGGAAAGTCGGTTGGTATAAGTTAAGACTTTTACCAACGGAAATTCCATTGGTAAAAGATTCACACTTTACCAACGGAAAATTCGTTGGTAAAACGTTTACTCTTTACTTACGACATGATCCGTCGGTAACTGTTAGTGACCCTCAAATTACCAACGGATTTGTGGTTGCAAATATTTCGTTAATAAAGATTATTAGCAACGGATATTGGGCTTTAGGAATGAAAAATTTTGTGCCTGAAACTCTGTTTTTTAGTAGTGTATTATGATTCTTACACTTGTTTGATATAAAATCAACAACAAATATTTGCTAGAGTATGTTACGCTGAGTCATAAAAGAATATAGATAGTTTTAAGTAATATTTTTGACACCTAACATGTTTGGTTAATTTATTTTAGAAAAAATAGTTTATTTGCCAAAAGTAATAAATTACTTATTACAATTTTTATTACTAATAAATTTATTTACCTATATAAAAAGGATAACACTAGTTGTACATAATTTTTTATACATTAAAATATCCATACACTCGCATGGGATGGAGCCCACTCGAATATTTTATTCGAACGGGCTCCATGCCATGTGAGTATGGGACACCCTTATGTACAAAAAGTTATGTACACCAAGTAAAGTCCATATGAAAAACTTTGTCATCGTGGGGTTTTTTAAATCAAAATAAAGAAAGAGAAACAGAACCAGTGAGATCAAACACATCTTTTTAATAACATTTCGAGAAGGCAAGATCGAAAATAGAATTTTTCCTGTCGGAGTTTTCATTCAATTATTTAGTGGTCGAAGGGGCCGAGGGTTTGATAAGCAGACTTTTTTATGCTTAGCCAAACATTGCCTTGTCCAATTTATAAAGATGTCAATTGATTGTTCAAAGAGTGACCGAGTCAGTCCGCTCCAACTTTAGCGGGAAAAAACCGTGCATTCTGTTCCTTCCCATCTTCTCCTCTCTACAAACAACAAAAACCAAAACAGACTCAAAAATATATTCATAAAAACAACATCAAATCACCTGAAAAAATCCAACAAATCTACCCATAATATCATTATTATGGATAAACATGAGAAGGCTAAAGAGAGAAGAGAGAAGAGGCGGCAAGAAATCTCTCTCCTTCGTACCATTCCCTATTCTGATCACCAAAGGTAATTGTCAATCTGATTCATTGTCAACACTTTTGTTTAGAGTTTTTTTTATCGATCTTGAAGTTTTGGATGAAATCCATTCAAAAGGAAGATGATGTTTTGTGATTGAAGCATCAGTACTTACAATTTTTTACATTATTAGCCACATATTGCCCAAAAAAGTAATGGAAAAGGTGTAACGTTTCGACTTTAGACTTGTTTAGAATTTCCAAATCGCTGTTTGGTTTCAGTTTTCTAGCTTGTCTAGAAATATGCTAAAAAATAATCCAAAGTGAATCGTTTATACCCCTAGGCCCTAGTTTATACCCACTTAGTGGAAATTAAGTTTGAATTTTAGTAATTTAACCAATATTAAAATTCCAAAATTCCTGGTTCATGATGTGGTAGTACCGAATTTGATTATACGTTCTAAGGTTATTCAGTTTATCTATTAAATTTTGTGTTCCACTTGATTGGATTGAAGTGTTTATTGTCAGAAATATTTCCTTGCAATAATATAGTTGCATTGACATCTGTACTTACGTACAAAATCAAATGTGTATGCCTTTGTAGTTGCTTTTCTCCAACGAAATAATATATGCTGAAGAAAACATGTTCCCGTGCTGTATGTTTCCAGTTTCTAGAAATTCTGGTAGCTGCTTTA